GACTCATTGTTTTTAATTTTTTTCTAAAGAAATATGCATCTGTTTAAAAGTGGCACCTTATAAGGGGTCTTTTTTTTTTTTCATATTTATACCTTTGTTTGACACGTGGAGCCGAAATGATAGAGGGATTTTATTTTTTCTTAAAAAAAATAGTATTGCCGCACAGCTATACTATGTTTTTTAATTTTTTAGAGAAATAGAATTGTGTTGACACGTGGCGCCTTATAACGAGTCCTCTTTTTTCATATTTACACCTATCTTTGACACGTGGAGCCTAAATTATAGAGGGCTATACTTCTTGTTTTTAATGCTTTTAAAGAAATGAACTTGTGTTGACACGTGGCCCCTTATAAGGGGTCCTTTTTTTCATATTTATACCTCTCTTTGACATGTGGAGCCCAAATGATAGAGGGATTTTAGTTTTTCTTAAATATGCTTATGTTTACACGTGGTATCTTATAAGGGGTCCTTGTTTTTTCACAATAATAAATCTCTTTGACACGGTGGAGCCTAAATGATAGAGGGATTTTTTTTTCTTTAAAAAATAGTATAGCCAAACGGCTATACCGTGTTTTTTTAAATTTTTCAGAGAAATAGACTTGTATTGACACGTGGCGCCTTATAAGGGTTCAGGTTTTTTCATATTTATACCTACCTTTGACACGTGGAGACTAAATTATAGAGGTACTTTTCTTTTCAAAAAAGAAAAAGAAAAAGGAGCATAGCCGCACGGTTATACTCCTTGTTTTTAATTTTTTTTTTAAAGAAATATGCTTCTGTTCACACGCGGCACCTTATAAGGGGTCCTTTTTTTTTCATATTTATACCTCTCTTTGACACGTGGAGCCTAAACGATCGAAGGATTTTATTTTTTCTTAAAAAAAATAGTATAGCCGCACAGCGATACTATGTTTTTTTAATTTTTTTAGAGAAATAGGCTTGTGTTGACACGTGGGGCCTTATAAGGGGTCCTCTTTTTTCATATTTACCCCTATCTTTGACATGTGGAGCCTAAATTAGAGAGGGATTTTTCTTTTAAAAAAAAAAATGTATAGCCGGTCGGCTATACTTCTTGTTTTTAATTTTTTTAAAGAAATGAACTTGTGTTGACACGTGACACATTATAAGGGGTCCTTTTTTCATAATCATATCTATCTTTGACACGTGGAGCCTAAATTATAGAGGGATTTTATTTATTCCTATCTTTGGCACTTGGAGTCTAAATCATAGATGGATTTTTCTTTTTTTACGAAAAAAAAGCACTAGTGTTGACTTGTGGCACCTTATAAGGGGTCCTTTTTTTTTTTTCTTAAATTTTTTATAAATATTTATACCTCTCGTTGACATGTGGCCTAAATGATAGAGGGACTTTATTTTTTCTTCAAAAAATAGTATAGCTGCACTTCTTTACTATGTTTTTTAATTTTTTTTAAAGAAAAGGACTTGTGTGGACACATGGCGCCTTATAAGGGGTCCTCTTTTTTCATTTTTATACCTATCTTTGACACGTGGAGCCTAAATTACAGAGGGATTTTTCTTAAAAAACACGTATAGCCGCACGGCTATACTCCTTGTTTTTAATTTTTTTTTATTTTTAAAGAAATGGACTTGTGTTGACATGTGGCATCTTATAAGGGGTCCTTTTTTTCATATTTATACCTCTCTTTGACATGTGGAGCCCAAATGATAGAGGGTTAATTTTTCTTTTAAAAAAAATTAGCATAGCCGCACGGCTAGACTATGTTTTTCAATTTTTTAGAAAAATAGACTTGTGTTGACACCATGCGCCTTATAAGGGGTCCTCTTTTTTCATATATATACCTATCTTTGACGTGTGGATCCTAAATTATAGATGGATTTTTTTTCCCAAAAAAAAAAAGTATAAGGGGTCCTTTTTTCATATTTATACCTCTCTTTGGCACGTGGAGCCTAAATTATAGATGGATTTTTCTTTGTTTAAAAAAAAAAAGAAGAAGTATAGCCTTCTTTCTTTTTAAAATTGTTTTAAAGAAAAGCACTTGTGTTGACTCGTGGCACCTTCTAAGGGGTCCTTTTTTCATATTTACACGTATCTTTGACACGTTGAGCCTAAATTATAGAGGGATTTTTGTTTTTCAAAAAAAAAAAAAAAAGGTATAGCCGCACGACTATACTCCTTTTTTTTATAATTTTTTTTAAAGAAATATGGATTTTATGTTTCCTTAAAAAAATCGTATAGCCGGACGGCTATACTATGTTTTTAAATTTTGTATAGAAATAAGCTTGTGTTGGCATGTGGCGCCTTATAAGGGGTCCTGTTTTTTCATATTTATACCTATCTTTGACACGTGGAGCCTAAATTATAGAGGGATTTTTCTTTTTTCTTTTTTTTATAAAAAAAAGTGTATAGCCGTACGGCTATACTCCTTGTTTTAAATTTTTTTTAAAAAAGAAATATGCTTCTGTTTACACATGGCACTTATAAGGGGTCCTTTTTTTTTTTTCTTCATATTATACGTAACTTTGACACGTGGTGACTAAATGATAGAGGGATTTTTTTTTCTGTAAAAATAATAGTATAGCCGCTCGGCTATACTATGTTTTAAAGTTGACACGTGGCGCCTTATAAGGGATCCTTTTTTTTCCATATTTATACCTATCTTTGACACGTGGAGCCTAAATTATATAGGGATTCTTCTTTTTCAAAAAAAAAAAAAAAAGAATATATATATATAGCCGCACGGCTAGACTCCTTGTTTTTAATTTTTTTGAAAGAAATATGCTTCTGTTTACACGTGGCACCTTATAAGGGGTCCTTTTTTCATATTTATACCTCTCTTTGACACATGGAGCCTAAATGATAGAGGGATTTTATTTTTTCTTTAAAAAAAGTAGTATAGCCGCACGGCTATGCTATGTTTTTTTAATTTTTTTTAGAGAAATAAGCTTGTGTTGACACGTGGCGCCTTATATGGGGTCCTCTTTTATCATATTTATACCTATGTTTGACACGTGGAGCCTAAATTATAGAGGAATTTTTGCTTCTTTTTTTTAATATAATTTTTTTTAAAAGAAATGGACTTGACATAAACCAATTCCCTGTTTTGATAAATAATTAAAAAAAAAATATCCAGAAATTCCATGTACGTTCAAGTTTAAATATGTTATCCAAACAAAAAACTTTACAAATTCTAGCACATTAATTTCTCTCATTTTAAATTCTATAATTACTATTTAAAAAAATGCAAAACCATGTAAGCCTCACATAGCCACCCCCCTTCCCTGACCACCAACCCTCATGGCACGCTAAAGGTGAACATTTGATTTGAACTAAACTGATGAAACGATTAGAGTTGAAACAAACCCGAAAAAAAACCGTGTTGATATGTAAATTCAACATAAGCTCAAAACCCATATATGACCGTTTTGGATTGGTTATTGTTCGAGTTCTTAGTATGGAAAAACCGGTCCAAACCAAAATGGACGATCAAATTAACTCCATTGGAAGTCGCATGTTACGCCCAAAAACATATGGAAACCCTCTTAATGCATTCTGTAACAAAATTGCTAGGTTAACCATGTTTCAATTTAAGCTATTGCAGAAAACTTGAAGTATTTCTTTCTTTTGAGGGAGAGGACTTTGATCAGTAGCTTTTTCGAAAAGAAAAAATAAAATAAAATAAAAAATTATTCTTTAAAGGAAAACAAGGATACAATCTCCACCCCTGAAGATAAATATATAAAAATTGTGTGAAATCCTTCCCAAAAAAAAAAGTGTGAAAATTTGTACGGGAGCGGATGTGTTGTCCCCAATTTGGTATCCCCTCTCTAATTATTCAACACATCTTATATAACTTAACAGATGTTTAACTCAACAATGTCCCCTTTTTAATAGCAAAAAGCTCTCCGCAACCAAGATATTCATGTCCATGTAGACACGGCCAAATGCATCACAACATTTGCGCTCGTGGGAATTGACTTTGGCCATTGAAGGCAATATTGAGGGTTTTGAGAAGACTCATGATTGTCGAATTCAGGAAATAAAAGAAGTTATTGGGGACTCGTAAGCACCCTTTGGCATTTTGGTTTTTTTTTATATTTTTAAATACCAAATAAAAAAGTTAACAGAGTTAACCCTTTGCGTGTTGAATAATTAGAGAGGTGACACCAAATTAAGGACAACAGATCCGTTCCCAGTACATGATATTATATATTTTGGTACATTTCTTTTAAAAGAATTATAGGCAATAAATTTATTATAGTACCAAATACTATAATGTGCAAGTTGGTTATTTTGTTGCCATTTACCATTTTTATTGCCTTTTATATCTTGAAAAAACCAACGAATTTTGTTAAACTTGGAGAAATGATAAGTTATTACTATAATTGTAGAAAACTGCATCACTCACGTTATTGTAGCAAACTGTAATTTTTAAAATGTATAAATACACCGATATTAAATACAGAAATTCAACGAGATGGTTAATAAACTTTATCAAACTCCATAGTTAAAATCACGGCATTCTAATTAACACATGCAATGCACGAAGTTTTTGTGAAATGTTTCGACTTGGTAGTTCATTACGCTCATGGCTGCTAGGTGCATGTGTTTTTATAATCGGATAGCTGGCCTCTCGACCCACACTCGAGTGAATGCCAATGTACTTTTTCATTATTCCAAATAAAACTCGAGACTACATTATTATACCATATCTCTAATAGAGGGAGGGTTTTCAAATATGAGTCACACCTGTATATTAGAGATGTGATATTACATATGTGGTTTATTTTCTATAATTATTTTTATGTTATCCTCATTTAAAAAGAGATAGTTGAAAATATAAACATTAGGGATATTGTTTGATGACCTGCTAGCCAATCAGTGTGCCTGAGATACGTGGAGGTGACAAATAAGAGGCCGCCATGTATAACTTAGTTGTTGGCAATGTGGTGGTGGGCTTGTCTGACCTAAACGCCCATTATAAATTTGTTATGAGGTAGGTGTGGTTGTCAAATGAGCGCAGTACCTCTCATACAGAAAAACGGCTCTTCCAAGCTAGTTAGGGTTTCTTCTGTTTGGCTTTCTTCTTGAGAAAAAAAAAAATGGAGGAAAATCAAAGCATCCTTCTCTTCTTACATCAGAAGAAAGTCAAATACAAAGACTACTTTTCCGTGGAGATCATGGATCAGGTCAATTTACATCGAATCAATGATTTACCAGAAACTGTAAGCCTCTCTCTATATGTATATATTCTATACAGTTGCATAATGTGACTGAAGGATTAATTCTTGGTACAGGAGGAGGGCGTTCTGCAATACAGTGGCGGATGCCATAATCATCGGCCTCGAAATTAACGGTACAATTAGTTTTTACTTATTCAGATGCGTTGATTTTAGTGTTTGAGCATATGTTATAAGAATTTTGAATATGTGAATTTAGAATTGTTTGCTGTATAATGAAAATTTGGTATAAATTGATACAGACAATGAGAGGGTGTGCCAGATGAAGAAAGGGATGCCTTTTAGAAAGAGCTCATCAGTGAGAACTATTGATGCTTTGGAAGTACAATGATGCCGCAAAATCCCCATATTTCTCCTTTGGATGTAAATGTAAAGAGGATGATCATGAGGGAATAGCAAGTGGCAATACAGGCGCCCAAATAGTCTTCCATAAAGATGTTGGTCCTGGAATTTGCAGTTTGGATTTGTTCAATTGAAGCAGATATGAGTTGTCAATACTTGTGGCTTGCACATTTAGTACTGTGCAATGTGTAATTATAGTAATTTTGCTAGCTAAAAGTTCACAATGTGTAATTGAATTTATTTATTTATTCTTATTTAGAATCAGATTGAAATTGCCGAATCAATGATTTACCAGATGTTTGTAAATTTTCTATTAATGTGAAATTGTCTGAATTTATTTATTTTTTACGCAGTTGCTCGACCTAAAACTTGGTACGTTCTTTAAAGATAGTATGGTATGGTAGTTTCAAAATTGGTATTTCCTTCATTCACACATTCAATGTACTGAACATTATGGTATTTCGTATTTGCTTCTCGTTAATGGAATGGAATTGCTCACAGGCTATTGCGTTCTACGGGACGACGTATCTACTTCTCTGCTTGAGTTTCTGTCGAATCCTTTTCTTTAGAAGAAGCTCAAACTCACATATATATGTGCATGTGATGGAGGTGCGGTGAGGAGGGAGGAGTGGAAGCTAACAGATAAATGACTCTCACTATAAGAGACGATTAAGACGTGTTGTATACTCCCACAGCATAGAGAAGTGGACCAATATTTTCTTTATATATTTTGTACAAGGGAATCATCGTCTCTTTAGAGCAATATCCATGCCAAGGACATTGTCATGCCAAATGTAGATGTGCTGTGGCTATTGTTAGAAGGGGGGCTATTAATTGTATCTAAAATTAACAATGGACATGTCTATGGAGGGCACGTATTTGGAATAATGTTGCTCATTTCTACGCTTGTTTTGCTGTAAAATCTACTTAGATTATTTGTGTGGATTAAGAAGCACACATTTGGCTGGCTCTCTTCCTTACCTGATTGTGATGTAAACTCTTTTGAAAATATGTGAGCATGCTGTAATAATCTACAATTGTTTAAGGACCAACGGCTTGTAAGTAAATTTGCAGCGTGGACGTGTATTAGGAGTGATTATAGAATACTACGATAGTATAGTCACGTGGTACATGTTGTACAAGTGTTATAATATAAGTGGATATTTATTGATACTATTCCCTAAAAGAGGGAAAATAAACCTTATCGTCCACCCATATTATAACGCGTATACAAGATATACCACATGACCATACTATACCATAATATTCTATAATTTCTCATGTAGTAGTGCTCTATTCGTTGATACACAACGGTCAACTAACAATCTAACGATTTTTTGAACAAGTATTAATAGCTCCATTCCGTTATATGTAGAAGTTTGATTCTGTATACAAAGAACATATGTAAACCCTAAACCCTATATATATAATATACATATGATGCCTATATATCAGTACATTTTATTATGCAAAGATGTTATAACGATGGATTGTGAACCTATGCAGTGCTGCAGGTGCATTTGAAGAAATCTTGTATACACAATCCATCCAAGGGTCTTCATTTGTCCACGACACTGAAAGAGTTTTACAGTTTTGTGTTAAATCACCAATTTGATGTAATTAAATTAGTATGATTCATGATCTGAAAGAAAGAATACTGGTCTTTGTATTTGACTATCTTTTCATTTAGGAAAAGTACACTTGAATTTTCTCCATTTTATTCTCAAGAACAAGATCAAACAAAGAAGCCCCAACTAGCTTTGAAGAACGTCCATACTTCTCTACGAGGAGAGTAGAGCCTGCATTAATTCGACACCCCAGGCCTCCTTGAACTGGGGGTATGGGTCAGGCCAATTACGTCCATAATTCTGTACCAGCTAATTTACACGGGGTAGCTAGGTGAGAAAAATTACACCATATGATGTATAACAACAGATCGCAGATCGAAGAGCAGTTTGACAGGCGCGTAATCCCATAAACAACATCATCCAGTCTATGCCATATTAAGCATTTGACGATCTGATGCCACATTAAGCATTTGGCCTCTGATGCCACCTTCCAAGGTTGCCAATTATGTACTGGGAAGGGAAATGAACCGACCATCGCAAAGCCAAGTCCTACCTATCGCTGCCTATGTGGAAACACAACAGGTTAAGCTGGATGCCAAATGCTGGATGCCAGAGCTCCACACAAAGTTTGCTTGGAGGTCCTAAAATACACACAATTCAATTTAGATTATAAGACCCACAATTTTTAGTCATCATATTAACATAATAGTCTCCTCAAATTAAATACAAAAACGGCATCTCAATTTGATTATAGATGTGCAGAGATCAGTAAAATAAACTGATAGAACATATTCTTATAATTCTGAATAAATTAAGCAAATAATTAAGCTCAGGAATACCATTAATTTTGAGGCTTCTAGCTAGAGTAGCACTCAACTCATCGGTCTGTTGCAAACTGCCTCTCCTTCTGCACAAAAAAGAATCCACACAATCAAGTTGTTAGTATCAAGAGAGGTAGAGCGAGAGAGAGAAGGAGAGTGGAGTTTCGAGATTGTGAGACAGAGATAGAGACCTACATTTTCTGGTAAATCACCGATCCGATGTAAATTTGCATGACTCATGACCTGAACGGAAAAGTGGTGTTTATATTTGACTCTCTTCTTCTGATTTATTAAGTGAAGGGTGGCTTGGTTCTCCACCATTTTCTCTCAAGAACAAAGCAAAACAAAAGAAAACCCTAACTACGAGCTACTACTGCTTGACGGCCCCCTGTACATCATAAGAAATATATAGTGGCTGCGTGCGTGGTGGGTAGGTAGGGCAGACAAATTAGTCACCTAAAATATGCCAACAAATGTATTACACTTGGCAGGCTCTGATTGTGTCACTCCACATATCTCAGGCACAGTGATTGGCCACAGGGGGCCCATGAAACTGTTATCGTAGCTGACTAGGAAACGGATAGAGCCAGCACTACCTGCATGTATTTTTGGATATAGGACAACATTGCACATGAAGTAACCCCAATTAGCAACCTCAATTCATATGGTCTAATTGTTTTGTAATTTGTAAATAATAATAGATAAGACATTAGAAGTATATTGATTTTTCCGCAATAACCGAATACTTTTGTCTATAAATACTGCATATTTGATTCCATCCATAAATCTATTTTCTTCCCTATGAGTTGGGGTTTGTTGTATATAACTTTGAGTTTTATTTTTGGTGTTCAGAGGCTAGTTCCACATAAAATATGTATACATTGTACATTGTTGTCTTTTTCAGTAACTTCATTTCACATGTTAAATAGATAATAAATAACTTTAGAATTATTTCACAAGAAGCTGTTTTTTCCAATGTTCCAACCACTCCGTTTACGGTATGAACAACTTCATTTCACTTAGAGGTTGCTTTTGAAAGCTGCTTTCACAAGAAGCACATAATAGCCTTTAATGAATTTTTCCAATTCCCATAATACCATCATTAATTTTTATAAATCACATCATCGACCACCACCTCCATCACTACCAATCCCACCTCCTCCTCCATCACCACCACCACTACCGTCGCCACCTCCACCACCACTCCCACCACCTTCACCG